CAATTGACTTAATTTTAGACAAAATTGACAGAATTTGTCCCACTTTTTTAAATTGCAAACCGAAATTGCCCGACTGTTGATCGAATATTGCCCGACTGCCCAACAAACTGGGGGGCTACCGATCTCTATCAGAAATTCCCATCTGAAAGGTGTTGTCACAACTGTATTGATGATTCATCTCAGTCGCACTCAGAAACGTCGTCAAAAATATGGACACGTTTCTTTACGATTGAGTTCACTTGAATGTAAAAGAGGTCCCCAACATTCTTGAACATGTGCTTTTGCTTAAAATATCATATTTGACTTGATTTGTTCCTCTATTGCGAGATAACAGAACAAAACAGTTGAAAATACCGTATTAATCACAATAGCTCACTCCTCAAGGTGGTCACAGTAAGATGGCGGCCGCGCGCGACTTCCGGCTTCAAGTTCTGTATCTATAGTTGCGCTCTCCATATATTTATAGCTCAGTGCGTCATCCCGGCTAAAGGGAGCTCCTTATTGGCCAAGTATTACGTAATACAAGCGCGTGCGAGTACCCGATACTTTAAAAATCCAAAATAAATATTTCTAGTAGGCGTATACATACGAAACTTTCTACACCAAAGCGCTTGAATACAAAGAGTTTTTTACACATATAGCCTTTCAGAAAATGACGAAAAGTTTAGAATATATTCAACTTTTTCTCTTTTTTTTCGGTTTGAATGTTTGGCGAAGCGGTGAGTATAATATATGATTGTTTCGGTTTGTGTGATGTTTTGACGGCACTTGATCCCCCGTTCGAAAGGTTATTTTGTGAGTATTACAGTGGTGGGTTTTGTTTTAAAGGGGGGTAAATACTCGCCGAGATATTTATTTTAGAAAAATTGAATCGTAATGTAATACGAAACTACTTGTCGAGAAGGATCGAGTTAAATTAATTTAAACGAACCATGTGTAAATTCGATATATAGGCAACATGGCCCCCAATTGACTCTCTAATTTACTTGGGTTAAACGTTAAACAAACATAAAAATTTCGATTGTTTCAATATTTTTTGGCCGATTTTGGTATGATAGCTTTCTTAAGTCGATAAAGCAAGTCCAAAATCATTCATGACCTTTTCACAGTCCATGTGTAAACATACTTGCATATTTCTTACTTACATTTATACTTTCATATTTCAATTCATTTTAACAAATGGATAGTGATTTTTGTTTTTTTTTTATAGGATGGCACAATTCAAAATGGATCCTATAGCTTTTGGCGGGAAAAAATTAAACGCGAAGAAAAACGTCAATCTTAGTTTCATTTTTGCATGTACGGCAAACATGAAACCGCTAACGGCAAACCGCGGTTTGCGGTTAGGTGTATATAAAATAAACGTCAATCTTAGAGTGTCTATTTCTCATCCGTTTGAAGAATACGTTTAATTCCTACAACAATTGTACCGAGTTCATCTAGATTTGGTTCAATGCAAGCATGCTATTTCTCCAGATAGAATCTAGTTTCTTTCTCTTGTTTTGATTGTTTAAACAACGTGGGCAGTCACATGGTAGAGCAATGCGCATGTACAATGGTGTACATTCTAACTTCCGTTTCCGGAACCTCTCACGCGTAGCATAATAGAGAAGCGTAGCAAGTTTCACTACCGTATTGCAACAGACTCCGGAGTGCCAGTCGTGGCGTTGTAAACGTGGCCTAATTTGATATACCATTAATAATTCCATTCATTTGTAAACAATAGACAATTAAACGTAATTATACAGTCTGTCCCCAAAAAAGTACCCTTATAACAATAGGATAATTTCTATAGAGGGTACTTTTTGGGGGACACACTGTACAGGTGTCCCAAAAAAACCCAAAAGCATTGAAATTAACGCATTGTTTGAATTTGAATGCCCTTAGAATTTGAATGCAAAGATGCGTAAAAGGCGATAAAGAAATTAAAATATCTTTGTAAAGCACACGATTTTCTGCTCTTCGGGGAATTTAAGACAGCTTCTTAAACGGTTCCTTTATGCATAAAATTTACTTAAGTCAAGCTTTGATGCACGTGTGGATTCAGCAGAGTGCTAAGGCTTTCAAATTCTAACAATGCGTTAATTTCAATGCCTTTTGGGGGTTTTTTGGGACACCCTGTATAGGTACTATAGGCTATGATGCAATTGTATTATCCCATTTTGATTACTGTTGTTTGGTTTGGGACAACTGCGCAGATTATCTTTTAGACAAACTGCAAATGGAGCCACATGTGTGATCACTCATGGTATACGTAGGCTAAAATATATGGCGTAAGGTCAATTTATATACTTAACGAACTAAATTGGAAGCCCTTAAAACTTCATTTCAAAAGTAAAAAGGCAATTTTATACACAAAGTACACAATGCAGTACTAGACAGAATCTATACGTGAAATCTTTAGCGTAAAAAGTAACCAAAGATACGATTTAAGAAGCAATGCGGAAACCATTATACGTATACTTAGCAAACCGTAAACTAACTTTTTGAAATAGAATATTGGTTACTCCACTGCATCGGTATGGAACGATTTGCCTAATATACAGCAAATTTAAGGTCTCTGGTATAAGCCTTTATCAATTTGAAGCGATTCTTGACCGCATCTGAATTTTTCCCTTTCTATTATATAAACCTATATTGTAAACAAGAGCATATTATGTGAATGATTTTTGATATAGTGTTTTAGATTGTATTCTAATTGTAATTGAGTGTGTAAACGGCCCCTGTAATATTCTTATAATATAGATAGTGTAGTTCAAAGCGAGACTTGTTTGCTTGGTGATTATATTGATACTGAATCTTATTAACATGTAATACAAAGCTATATACAAGTTACGTCATACATGCATATGACGTCACATCATTACATCTCCTTGAAAAGCAGGTGCCTACGTGCCCTTGTCTTTTCTAATTTCCCACAATATAACGCATGCCACATCTACCACATGAGATGCAGTAGATACTAGGGAGAGGTCACGTCAAATGGTGCTTTAACAAGTTATTGAGATTTTGGTGCCGAAATGGTGGTAGCCTATAGCAAAATCTATAAACATACAGATTTTAAGGATAATCTTCATTTTTATCAAATGCTAGGTAAACTATTGCAGATAATTATAACGACCTGAAAAACATACATGCAGTAACAAAATTAACGAAATAAAAGAACATGCATGCATGATTTAACGAAGTCATTTGTATGGTTGATCATGACCAAACAGTATCATACCAATCATAAATGTGTTCGTGTGCATTTATTGCATACAGTTATTGTTAGTACAAAAATCTCAGTTTCTTACCTCGTTTCAATTGCCTTCATTCAATCTTTTTCTAAGTCGAAGATTAACATTTTACTGATTGTCAAAGTTGAGGGGTGTCAATTATTAACAATGTCGAGCTTTTGTCTTCATAACGCCCGCAAAATGTGGAAAATAATATACTATTTTATTATTTTGAATACTATATCTCTGCACGTTATTTTACTGGGTATTTATGCGATTTGAGATCCGAGATAAAAATTGAAGCACACTTTCATGTCGATCGCGACGTGACTTTTGGAAGTTGCATACCAACTTGCCGAGGTGCGTCATTCCCGCGCTAACCTACCGACGACCACATTAAAATTAGATCATTTAGATGTCATTTTCCACGTTGTATTGTTCTCAAAGAATTGCAAATTTTTTCTGCGAGAACAAGTTATAATTGTTCAATAATTTAGATCTAAAGCCCGGATCCAACGAGGATGCGGGTCCACGAGAGTTGGCATGCAGTCACGCGCGACATTAATTGCATGGATAGCTGTTTTTATTGCTTTCCCAACACTATAATATATATATATATATATATATATATATATATATATATATATATATATATATATATATATATATATATATATATATATATATATATATATATATATATATATATATATATAATTATATATATCGATCTAGTAACTCGCGGGTTCGAAGCACAGCAGCGGCAGGCAAAGTGTTCTGCCTGCGCGCTGTCTGGAATACAGTAGTACATTCGGTTCTTAACCTGCCAGGACACACAGCTAGTGTTAGCATGCATGCAGTATTCTTTTTACTGAAGTGTTTTATCTTGGATGTAAATATTCATGATAACAATAATAGAGAAATCAGTTTTTCCGGCCTTCGTATCCGCTAGTTATCGTCGCTATATACGTCACTGCATGCCACCGATCGTCCGGAATTATATCTAGAGAAGTAATATTTTTACCAATACTCTTTTTTGGTTAAGATTACTGCAACAATCAATGGACAATTCATTAGTTTGTTCAATTGTTTATACACGTACTAAAGTAAATACTAAATAATAAACTGTGTTATTTTTCAGTCCCAAGCTGCAAAAAGCACCACACCATGCCAATGGGCCAATTGCGGAATTGCTAAGCATCATGGTAGTTTAGTTACACAGCAGAATTTTTCAACATGGCGCTTATACTTTTCGAACGAGGGAAGGTGCTAAACACATGAGAATTGCAAGAAAACTTTTATCATTTTCGCTTTGGTTAAAGTTTTGACTAAATCTGTACGACTTGTTTCATATTTCTACTTCGTCTTGGACTTCTACGAGCGAGTGCGGTTGAAATATTTAACATGGCGTACAAAGTCACTGAAGCGGGGAAGGAGTTCGATTCGTAGTAGTCAGGAACAAATTTTTGAATATTTCACAACATGAAGGTGAGTACTGCATTAAATTATTTTCGAAAGAAGGAACACGTTGTAAACTATTATTTGCCTAAAAATTTTAATGATCGGTTTAATTCTAGCGACTCGAGAGACAAAAATGTTTGCACACTTGACCGTCCCAAAACAACAGATGTTTGATCAAACGTTCGTTTCACAACCACAAAACATTGAGGTTGTTTGGCGCGAAAAATCAAAACAGTTACTGTTGGAAATACCAAGCTTTCACATTTCAAAGGTTTTCAAAGATTTATAAAGTACTTTTAAGTACTATTCACTGCTGTTCAAGTGTCTTATTGGAGTTTTAACTACAACATATTTACGTGAGTGAAATTTAAAGCAACCTCGCTTGTTTCGAGTATATTTTGGAAAGTTTCGAGCCGTTTGGTTTGCTGTTTGTTTGGATAAATATGGCAAGTGACACGGAAAAAGTGCTAAAGGTAAGATGTACAGGGGAACGACCTGTTGTGTGCCACTTTGTCGAAGCGACAGTGTTAAAAATTCGGAATTATCCTTCCATAAATTTCCTGTGAGAAATATGGCTGAATTTTATATTGAGAATGCAAAGTGAACCTTTTATGAAAAAGCCACAAAATGTGTTCCTTACACTGAGAAATCTTTTAGTGCATTGCCAACTGTCGTTAAGTATCATGTAGACAAACTATAAACAGTAGCCAAGGCAGGGAACATAATATATTATTATAGACAGCTACTGTAGTGAGACTGAACAACCCAGTCTGAACAACAAACGACTGGCATTGATACACAAGAGTCAACCAATGAAAGATTAAAAACTGAACATGCAGTTTTACAAAGAAAATATTATGAGTTATCATCTAGCTAAATATGAACAGTGTGTATTGCGAATAGAACAATCATGTACTTGCCAATGACACAAATTTTAAATTCTATACAGGTTTTCAAAATTATGCAACATTTAAATTTTCTTTGACTTTCTGCAACCACCATGTAATTTCTTAACTTATGCTGGTTCGAGTAACAATGTAGAACACTCGGCAGAATAAAAAAGCTGCAGCGAAAAAGATCAATGTCGCCTACTGTACGTTGTGGTCTTATACAGGAACCTTAACATATTGCTCTCCGAATTGGCATTTCACAGCACATGTTTCTCGTATATGGGCTACTTGGTTAGAGTTTCTCTATCACAAGTTAGGATCATTACCCATCTGGGCATCACAAGATTATATACAACAAACTATGCCACAGCCTTTCAAAAAAACCTACCCAAATACCTGTGTAATTATTGATTGTACAGACTGAACAACAAATTGAAATACCAACATCATTTAGAAGTCAGTCTGCATTTTTGAAAATGGGCACTTCACCTCACCTATCCCAAATGTTGTTGGCTCTGCATAATTATATAACAAGTAGTCTGGTTTCACCAAGTCATGGAGCTTCTGTGTTAACAAATAACCCACACTGAACACATGCAGTCATTTTAATACACATTATTTTAATACACATCATTATCAGTTCATCCTGAATTATTTTGCTCTAAATGTTTTTCAATGGCAATCTGCTGATTACTGTTGCCCCACTTGACATGCTTTACATTGCTTGCTGGCAAAAGGATTTTGCAAAGAAGTGATGTGAGGAAAACATTTTCTCTTCGTTTCATTCCGTACTGAAATGTGAGGTAGTTACAGTAGACGACCTCGTTGTTCATGAAACCAAAGTTTGCTCTGTGACTGACCTCTTGTATTGCATTCAATGTCAACCATTTGTTCTTTGGGTGTAAAAAGAGTGTTTCGAGTATCTGGTCTATATATTCTGGAGAACGCAAATGTTTGCACACTGCTGCAAAGGCAAATGTTTGCACACTGCTGCTAGGAACAGTAAGTTGTTCCAGTATAGATGTTCAAATTTTGTATTGTACATTTGATTTGCAAATACAGTAGGTTTGCATTTATTGAATGCCTTTGTTGAAGGCAATTCCTCAACAAATTCTTGATATTAGAAAGGTTCACAATTGTTGGATACTAAAAGGCCCTGCAAATAATCACAAGTGCCAACAGTCAAACCGGTCTTAACGTTTTCTTAAGTCTTCAACATTTACATGTTTAGCAAAAGCAGGTGCTGGGTTGTAGTTTGCTGTGCAATGTTTTTTCTGTCTTGAAAGTTGCCTTGCTTATTTTTACTTTGTCGAAAAGCACTGCAGTATCAAGTTTCTCATATTTAATAAGTTCAGTGACTGTCAGACTGTGTACATGTTAAATCATGTGGGACAGGGACTTCAGTTTAATAATT